TTATAATGTAATTCATGTTTTATAATAAAATAAATTTTGGCAAATATAACTTAATATAATTGTAGTATTAATATATTAATAATATTTATAATAACCAATATTAATTACAATATCTATAATTAATTTTGTCATATAAAAATAATTATGGCAGCCTAAAATAATTATGGCAGCCTAAAATAATTATGCAGTCGAAAATAATTATGGCAGCCAAAATTATTTTTGGTTTCGGCAGCTGAAATTATTTCTGGCAATTATATTTTTGGCAAATGCAAAATTAATTAAGGCACCATCTATAACCTAAGCTAAGTGGAAATGATATAATTATGTCATTTCCACTAAATCCTGATCCAAGAACCTTTGTTAGAAACAACTAACACACTAAATGAATCCACTGAACTATACTTCTTGAATACAATAAAAGGATACACATCCAAATCATTACTAAAGAAAATAAAAACAATCACAAGGTCTAAAATATCAGCAAAAACAATTAACACTAACTTACAAACATTTATCCAAACCAAGCTAAGAAGAAAAAGCTGGTTAAATGACTGATAAAGTTTTAGTAAAACTTCACAACGTGCTTTCTTGGATGGGTCAGTTACAGTGGTCTTGATTGAATTCCAATACTTTTTTAGTATTTCAACCGTTTGTCTGGTGAGAGAAAGGATGTGTTAAGATTGTGAAGCTACAATTAAACTGGATTAATGTTTCTTACCTAGCTGTGCTTTTCTTTTCTTGAGTACTACTATAGGATCGGATCATTACCAGTCGACGAGATCTAAAATAAAGCAACATAACAGCGCGCGTGCGAGACAAAGATTTTAATAAGTTCACGTTTGAAAACTGCAAAAAATATTTTTCAACTTCCAATTATAAAATCTTCCCTAGTATTTTTTTCGTAAATTTCAGGGGTTAGGGTTAGGTTTGTCAGGGTATCGTATTTATCACCTTGTGTCACACCTTTCGAATATCGATTTTTATTAAACATGTTAATGTCATTAGATTCACGAGATCATTTTTACATTAGAAAGATGTTTTTTCCTTGTATGTAAAAATAAAACTGAATTTTATTTTATAAATAATTTATTTATTTCTGTTTACAATGATAAAATTTTTGAAAAAGCATGATAATTAAAATAATTGTAAAATAATGACTTTAAAAACTATAATACTTGTTATGTATACATAATATAAAGCAATCTCTAAGTTTATTGTTCGGTAATTGTTTTTGTGGTTCAAAGTTTTCTCGAATTTTGGGAAGAAATCGATTTTACCCAAAAGAAAAACAAAAAAAATTTGAGAAACCCGAATTACTCGAATTACCCAAATAAAATAATAATAAAAATAATTAATCAAGCAAATTAATTCTATAATATATAATGTATGAATAATGTGATGTTTATAAAATGTTAAATATGATCTAAAAAATAAATTGAAAAAAAAAATCGATCAAAGTAAACTTTGATTTCATTTTTTAAATTTACGCATTCTTGCAAATTGTCGATCTCCAAATTTCCCCTTTTGAGATTCAAAGTTTATCATTTGAAATTGTTGACCATTTTCTTGTACATTTTGTACATTTTGTAAATTTTGTGCATTTTGTGTATTGAATCCAGATCCAGGATCAAAGTTAAAGGGTGAGGAGCCAAAGTTATTTTGAGGATTTGAAAAACAATTAAAATCCATATTTCCTTGTTGTTGTTGCTGTAGTTGTTGTTGCTGCTGCTGTTGTTGTTGAGAAGGATTAACTTGAAATGGATTCATATTATCAAATTTGAACATTTGTCCGGTGGTCGATAACGATGGTAAAGAAATAGTAGATTCCTCTCTTTTCATTTCAAAAGTGAAAGAACCTTCACGAGTCATCAACATTCGATTATCTTGTCCATCCCCAACACCACCAGTTTGTATATCTGAAAGTTGTGAAGGTGTCCTAGGTAATCTTAACATTTTACGTCCTCCTTCAAAACTACTTGATTCGAAACTACGTTTACCTTTTTGTTTACTAGTACTACTATTACGAATACCTGTATTCGTTGTTGATGTTCGAGATTTATTATAAATTGATGATGATAATTCCGTTGTTGCATTTGTTGAACTTGTTGTATTTATCGCTCCCATATTAAATATAGGTGTAGCAGAATTACTAAAAATCGGGGTAGAAGTTTTCCCAAGATTATCTTGGAAACTTTGACCAAAGATTGGTGTATTAAAAGATGGAATAGAATCTTGAGCATTATTATCTATATCCATAAGACAGTCGGATGGTGGACTCATTGAAGGAGGTACTGGACTAGAACTACTAACACCAATATTTATTTTTAGTGCAGGTAATTTTTCAGGTGGTTTTTCAAGTGATATAATTTCATTCTTCTTTGGTTCAAATAAAATCTGTTCATTTTTTGATTCTGATTTAGCCGCTTCTTCATTTTTCTCTTTTTCCTTCTTTTCCTCTTTTTCCTTGTTTTCCTCCTTTTCCTTGTTTTCCTCTTTTTCCTTGTTTTCCTCTTTTTCCTTGTTTTCCTCTTTTTCCTCCTTCTCTTTGTTTTCTTCATTTTTCTCTTCTTTTCCCTCCTTTGATTCTACTTCCTTGGCTTCCACCTCCTGTAATTTAGGAAGTTCTAAAGTTAAAGTTGTAGATGACTCATCTTTTTTGCCCTCGGTATCAACAGATTTGGGGGGATTAATCTTGGAAATGCTAGAAATGCTAGTAGATGTGCTAGTAGATGTGCTGCCAAGGAAAAAAGGAGAAGGCTTTGTAGTATTGGTAAAGAAAGAAGGTGAAGCTGAAAAAGAAAAAGCGGTTGTTGTTGATGTAGGTATTGCTGTTGTTGTTGATGTTGTTGATGACGTAGGTTCTGCTGAAATTGTTGTTGTAGGTGTTGCTGCTGTTGTTGATATTTTTGCTGCTGCTGCTGTTGTTGGTGATGCCATTGTTGCTGCCGTTGTTGTTGCACTTTTCATTTGATCACCGATTGCTTTGATAGTAGTTGGTATTGATGTTGAATTAAAAGTAATTGAAGTATTCTGCTCAACGCTGAAAAATGATTTTGGAAACGATGTTTGAAAAGATGTTGGAACTGATGTTGGAACCGATGTTGGAACCGATGTTGGAACCGGTGTTGGAATTGATGTTGGAAATGATGTTGAAAAAAGTGTTGGAACCGATGTTGAACCATTAATTCCAACATTGGTTTTATTAGTTACATCATTTGCTTTAGCATTTATTCCAACATTTGTTGCAACTAATGATGGAACCGATGATGGAACAAATGATGTAAACGATGTTGGAACCGATGTTGGAACAAATGTTGGAACCGACGTTGGAACTAATGATGGAACCGACGTAGGAACTAATGATGGAGCTAATAATGGAACCGACGTTGGAACTAATGATGGAACTAATGATGGAACCGATTTTGGAACTAATGATGGAACTGTTGATGGAATTGTATTCGTGAAAAAAGGCTGCGAAGTACTAGAAGCGGCATTAAAAATATCAAGTGTACTTTCACTTTTACTATTATTATTATTGTTATTATTATTATTATTGTTGTTATTATTAATAATGTTATTATTAATAATGTTATTATTAATACTATTATTATTAATACTATTATTATTAATACTATTATTGTTATTGTTATTATTAATGTTATTATTATTATTATTATTATTATTATTATTATTATTATTCGCGGAAGGTGCGACTGCAATATTCAATGAAGTATACTGATCAAACCAATTTGGTTCCCGATTTTTCAATTTTGATGTTTGTTGCTGGCGAGCATTATTATTATTATTACTACTACTACTAGTAGATTTGTTTTTTATATTTTGTATATTTTTCTTGGAAGTTTCAGTTGAAGGATAATAATCAAACCAACGAGATTCATGTAAATATGTATTATTGTTATTATTATTATTACTACTACTACCACTACCATTACCATTATCATTATTATTATTATTAATCGTGGTTATATTTTGTTGATCCTTTTTGAAAGTTTCAGTTGGAGGAGGATAATAATCAAACCAATGTGATTCAGGAACGAGATTTGTTTTAAACTTTTTAAGAGGTCGTGGTGGTGGAGGTGGCAATAATGATGATGATGATGGATGCTTTAAGGTTTCTTTTCCTTTTTCTTTAAATGGTTTATACCAATCTGGTGGTATATTCAATAACCATTTTTTTTCCTTCCGATTATTATCATCATAATCATACATTCCATCTTCATCCCTTTCCCATGGGTAACGAAGGTCTTCTTCTCTTGCTGAAATGTGATTAGATCTTGGACGAGGGATTTCGCCCATTTGTCGTAAAGAAGGACATTTATACCGTCTATCGAATAATCGAACCTTTCTTAAAGGTAGATACTTTCTCTTTAAAAGGGTTTTTTCTTCTTCAGTTAACCCTGAATCTACTGAAACACTTTCTTGTCTTTGAACCAATTGAGTTTGTGTAATATTTTCTTGTCTTTGAACCATTTGTTGAGTAGTGGTGGCGGTGGTGGTGGTTATATTATTTTCTTGTTTCGGAAGAACTCGTGGTGAAAATCTAGGAGAATCTTGATTTATTTGAGTTTCTTGAGTTTGCGGCGGCCATAAGAATTTCTTAAGCCAATCTGGAAAAAATTTAGAAGCGATGTTCTTTAACCAACTGTTTTGTTGATTTTGTTGAGAACTTATACTAACGGGGTCTGCAATAACTCTAGTATAAGGCGTTATTGAGTGATTACGTGTTCTGTTATGTCTAACTGGTCCTCCAGCGGAAGTCGAAAGTTCTGTTGTTTCTTGAAAAGAGTTAATGTCGGGAGTAGGAAATACTAATCCAAACGACGATTCTCCTCTAGAAGAGTAATAATTTCCCGGATCGTTCATTTTTTGGGATAAAAAAAAACAAAAGGCTGGACAGTTCTGACAGTAATTTTTTTTTTTTTTTGAGTTTATTTAAATATGCAAAACGCCTACAAGCATGGTTTAATTGGTAAAAAAAAAAACACAGATCCCGTGATTTAAAAATGATGTATAAATTATATAATAGAAAAAATTCAATTATATTAAATCCTTTCAGAAAATATATTTCTCAGAGGAAGCGATTGAAAAGAATTGTATTACAGTTCCAAATATGCAAAAACTTGATGGTGCGTTTTTTTTTAAAAAAAGCCTACAATATATATATATATGAAAAAAAAGTACTCATTATTTGTCATTTTTATTATAGTAAAAGTAAAATGGAGCGGGAAAATATATGAGTTAGAATTAGATCTTGACGACACATCAGAAGTTTTTAAACATCAATTATATAGTCTGACAGGTGTTGAACCTGAAAGACAGAAAATAATTGGAAAAGGTGGACGAATCTTGAAGGTAAATTTTTAATGAATTGAGAATTAAATTATTATTAAATAATTATCAATTAAATGTTCTCAAATGTAGGAAGATACAAATTTGAAAAATTTGGATCTTAAAAAGGTGAATAATTTTTCTAATTGCAATAAATTAATAAATTATTTTTATTTTTTACTAACAATAAAATTTCTAATTTTTAAAAATAACAAATTATTAGGGATTTACTTTTTTGGTAAATATTCAATTAAATATTTTATTCAAAACTTCATTCAATACAAAATTTATTCAATATTTATTTTATTAAATATTTATTTAGATGATGGGATCATCTGCAGAAATACCCAGAGCACCAGAAAACGTTTTATTTATTGAAGATATGACTGATAAACAATTGGCTGAAACAGTAAGATAATTTAACCTTGTAATTTTCATTATTATGTTTAATTTTATTAATTTTATTATTATTTTACTATTATTTATTATTATTATTTTTTTATATTATTTACTTTATATTATTATTATTTTTTTTTATATTATTATTTACTTTATATTTTTTTAATAAAATTATATTTTAATTATTTTTATAGCTCAAATTACCATCTGGATTAACAAATCTTGGTAACACTTGTTATATGAATGCTACTTTACAATGTCTTCGTTCTATGCCAGAATTGCATCAATCTCTTAATAGGTTTATTATTATTTCTTATTATCATTATTTTATTATATTTTATTATATTTTATTATATCAATTTTAAAATATTAATATAATAATTTTTTATTTCATTTTTTTTTTTATATAAAAAGATTTACTGGCGGAATCAATACGGGATATCCAGCGAAAAATTTAACTGCCTCTTTACGTGATCTTTTCCAACAATTAAATCAAACCACTGAAGGATATTCACCTTACGTCTTTTTGCAGGTATTTTGAAAAATAAAATTATCATATATTTTATTTCATAATTTATTTATTTATTTATTTATTATTATTCAGATGCTTAGAACAGCTTTTCCACAATTCGCGCAACAAAATAATAATGGATTTATGCAACAAGATGCTGAAGAATGTTGGACCGAAATTGTATCAAGCATGAAAATGGCAAATATTCCATTACCCAATGGCGAACCCTCTTCCTCCTCCTCCAATTCTTCTTCTCCTACTACTACTCCTTCTGATGAAACATTCGTTGATCGATATATGACAGGAGAATTTACTTCTATGTATGATATTTATTCCTCAATTATTATTAATTATATTAATTATTAATTATTATTATTAATTTCACGTGTGATATTAATAATTATTATTAATCTCACGTGTGATATTAATTATTAATTATTAATTATTAATTATTAATAGTCTCAAATGTGATGAAGCTCCTGAAGAAGAACCTGTTATTACCAAGGATGTTTTTACGAAGTTAAACTGTTTTATTTCAGAAAGTATGCTAAAAAATGATTCACTGTCAAACTTTCCTTTCAATTTCCTTTTACAATTTTCCTCGGTTTCATTTCAATTTCCTCCAATCCAATTCCAATTCCATTTTGATTGAATTTTAGAAACTGATTATATGACGACACAAATTGATGATGTATGAAATCATAAATATTACTTGTATAATATATAATCAAATTTTTAAATAATATATATATATATACGTTTAATATTAAATAATATATTAATTAACATTTTTTCATATCATATGATCCGAATTTATTTTATTTTATTTTTTCTTAGACATTGAAAGAAGAAAAAGTTAATAAGAATTCACCAACTTTAGGAAGATCGGTTAATTATTCAAAATATACACGTATCAGTCGTTTACCTGAATATCTCACTGTTCAATTTGTACGATTCTTTTGGAAATCTCTTATACGTAAAAAGGTTAAAGTTCTACGTAGAGTTAAATTTCCTTTAGATTTTGATTTAACGGATATTTGTACTGATGAATTAAAAAAGAAGCTTCTTCCAGTAAGAGATCGTTTGGTTGAACTTGAAAAGGAAAAATTGGAAGCAAAAGTAAATTTTATTAAAATTTAATTTTTAATAATTTATCATATATTATATTATTTATTTATTTAATTATTTTGCTTATTTATTTTTTATTTAATTAATTTTTAGCGTAAAGCAAAAATTACAAAAGATTCAAATGAAAAAAAAGAATTAGAGGAAATTGGTTATGATTCTAAAATTGAAGAAATCAAAAAATTGGTTGACCCAGAATTAGCAGCAGATTTTGGTGCAAATACGACAGGATTATATGAATTATGCGCTGTCTTAACTCATACTGGACGATATGTTGATTCCGGTTTGTTAATTAAATTAAATATTATAAATATTATAAATATTATTAATATATATAATATTTTAATATCAATTCTCTTTAATACAGGTCATTATATTGGTTGGGTTCGCAAAGATGATTCTCGTATGTATTTATATTTATATTTATATTTATATTATATTATATTTACACTGTATTTATCATTTTTTTTTATATATATCTCTTCAGCTGACGATTGGATCAAATATGATGACGACAAAGTTTCAATTGTAAAAAGTGAAGAGATTTTAAAACTTGATGGTGGTGGTACGTAATAATAATAATATTATTGTAATTTTTTTTTCTAATTAGAAAATAACAACATATATTATTATTATTTAGGTGATTGGCATATGGCTTACGTTCTTTTGTATCGATCAAAAAAAATAGAATAATCCGAAATTTATATTTATTTGAAATTTCTGATTTAGTTTAATAGAACAAAAAAAAAATGAATTGTAGTGAATTTTAGTGAATTTAATGAATTTCATGTTTATAGGTTGTTGTTGTTGTTTGAATTTCATTATGAGTTCTTTTGTTCCAATAAAATATTCGTCCCAAACTTGAACCAAAGAAAAAAAAGTACATTTTTTTTTTTTGTAAATTCGTCGCCATACAAACAGTCACACATCACGTTATATATTTGATTGAAGTTACACGAATAGATGATTTTCATATTTCAAGCTGCAGATCTCAACTTCGAATCGATAAAAAAAAATGAAAAGAAAAAATTATTCACAAAAAGAAACTCAAGAAACTCAGGTACTAGACCTTTTGGATTTACCAGAAAAATGTGCTCAAGATAAAAAAAGAAGGTTACTGACAGAAAATAATTTTGACAATTCAAATGAAGGTGAAAACAATGAAGAATCGAAAAAGAGTAAAAAAAAGATTACAATAACCGATAAGCATGAAAGGCTAATACGTTATACCAGTAAAAATATTCCAAAAATGTTAAAAAAATATTGGATAAAACGTTTTGATCTATTTCATAATTATGATGAAGGAATTCTTATGGATGAAGAAGGTTGGTATTCAGTTACTCCTGAAGCCATCGCGACACAAATTGCCGAACGTTGTCGATGTGACGTGATTATCGATGCATTCTGTGGAGTGGGTGGAAATGCTATTCAATTCGCAAAGACTTGTCAAAAAGTAATTGCAATTGATATTGATGAAACAAAAATAATTTGTGCCAAAAATAATGCACAAATTTATGGAGTCGAAGATCGAATCGAATTTATTTTAGGTGATTATTTTAAATTAATTCCTAAATTGAAAGCTGATGTGGTTTTCCTTAGTCCTCCTTGGGGTGGACCATCTTATCGAGAACAAAAAGTTTTTAATCTTAAGACCATGATGTCGATAGATGGAGAAAAATTATATCATGAAACCACCAAAATTACCAATAATATATCATATTATATTCCTCGTAATACGAATCCTCAACAACTTGCAAACTTTACAGGGAATGGTAAAACCTGCGAAGTACAACAAATATATATGGACGAAATATTTAAAGCACAAGTGGCTTATTATGGTGATTTAAAATGTATTGACGAATAATTTCTTAATTTCCCCCTTCCCAAATGTATAAAACATTACTTTTTTTTTTTATTATTATTACCATTTCTTTATTTTTTTTTAAAAAAAAAAATGATAAAAATGCTTTTATTAGATTACTTTAAATAACTTTAAAATGGTTTATATATTCAACATTTTTAATTTGCTATTAATATTAATAAAAAATCAATCTATTGAGACTACTCATACAATTCAATCACATCAGCCATTCACAACTAGCCACCCATATATATACCCATTGCATAAAAAAAAAAAAAAGGTTTCTTCATTTGCCTCGTTCTTCGCGTCTTGCTTTGTCTAATTTTTCTTTATACCTTTTTCTTAATTCTTCTTTATTTTTCTCCACATTAAATCCTTTATTCGTTGATCCGGGGGTTTTCCTTTCTTGAGACATGAAAAGGTATGATTCTTGTTTAAATTCGGCTTTTGCCATATTCTTCATCCTTTCAACACATTTTTCGGAATGCGCTTCAGGATGTCTATAGAAATAATTGATTTAATAATAACAAAAAAATAATAACAATTTTTACAAGTATAAAATTTATACATTAAATATTATTATTATTATACTGGATTCGTATATATATATATATATAGAAAGTATATAAAAAGTATATACTTGCCTATGTTTCACACAGTAAGTCATATTACAATATTGACAAGTATAACTTAGAATTTTTAAATTCTGTTTACAATTTGACATTGAACAAAGGTTGCTTGTAGAAGGTTTCGCGTCACTACAAAAAAAAATTCGTTCATTTTAAAATTCAACTCAATGTAATAAGTAATAAATAATAATTTATAACTTATATATATATATATTACCCCAAAATATGTGCTACTATTTCATCCAAGTCATCGGGTTTACTACTAGAATCTTTACCTGAATTAACTTTCCCACTTTCTGATTTACTATTTTTTGTTGTCTCACTATTTGAGCCAGGGGACTTTTGTTTCTTCTTTTTCTTCTTTTTAGCTTTTACTGTCGAAGTATTCTGAACATTATTATTATCATTATCATCATTATTATTATTATTATTAATGGTCACAATCTTCGAAACATTTGAGACATTTGCCACTATATTGTCTTGACTGGTATTTGATTCAACTTCGTCTGTCATTTGAATTATAGTATATATATATATATATATATTATATTATATTATATATTTGAACAAAAATTTCACAAATTTCGATGTAACTTGCATCACGTGAATTATATTTTTATTAAAAAACAAAAAGTATATTTAATAATATAAAGGTTTTTCTTTAAGATGAATCTGTGGTTTGTTTGGTGGACTGTCTGGGATAAATTTTTCCAATTTCTATGGAAATCGTAAAAAAAAAAAAAGAATAAAATAAAAGAATAAAAAAAAAATCAAAAGAATAAAAAGAATTTTTTTTTTAAAAAAAAAGAATAAAAAGAATAAAAAGTGCAAACATACCAATGCACTCATAACACATGAATTAAACTTTCGTTCAGGGGCTCGACAACGATGATATTCTTGGTTGTTCAAATCTAAACAAGTCCAATGAGCTTCAAATTCTTTGTCACAATGTTCACGTAATTTTCGAAGCCTAAAGAAGTGATGAATTTACAATAATTTATCACAAATCTTTTATTATTACTCTTTTTTATAAATAATAAACTCGGATAAAATTTTACGTTTTCATAATTATTTTCCGTCATTCACAAGTATTTATGTAAGTAAGTAAAGTATTGATTTATCTTGTTACAATTTTTTTTATTTTTTTATTTTTTTTTTTTTATCTAGTCAACTCACAAGTCAATTGCGCATCTAGTAACTTTTCTTCCTTCCTTCAAACAATGTGCTGGATCATTATTTTCGTTTTTACAAAGCATAAAATCTTCATTGTATTCCTTACAGTATGCACCAATGAAGAATGCTGCAGACTGTAAAGGTGCCGAAGTCGCTCCCACTTCGTCAACCTTTGGAATCTTATCTGGCATAGGAGTAGGATCTATGAATTCCACATCTGATAAACTGGGATTTCTTGGAGCTGCTGACATAATTTACTTATCTATTTATTAATTAATTTAAATATTATTACCCAAAATTTCTATAAGAGAAGTAAGAGAAAGTTGGATCGCGAAGATATTTATTATATAGATAGATAAGATGGGCTGTGTAACGGTGTAACTTCAAAAATTTACTTTATTATTATTTTAAAATAACTTATTCCAAGAATATTTAACATTATTAAAATAATAATATATCGTACAATAAAGATAAAGAGAATAAATTTTCAGTAGAATTTTTAACAAAATCGTTTCCTTTCATCTTAATTCAAAAAAAATACAAAAAGAGTTCAATTAATTAATTCCTATATGTACTACTGTTAAAAAGGATTATCAACTATAAGTATCTATTAGTGAATCTCTCATTTCTTTGACGATTGCTGTTGGTTGTGCATCATGTAATTTGAAAATACTTTCAACCACTGATAATTCAGTTGCAGTACTATCTAATCCTGCAAATGCACACCAATCATTTACTACAAGACCAGCACCGATTACATCTGAACCACGATTTATCGTTCCAGCCTAATTATAAATAAAAAAAAAATAAGAAAGAATAATATTAAATATTTTATAATCAATTGAAAATATATATATATATATATAAATAATATAATAAATAAATATATATCTCAAATACAAACCACAAGAGGAATTTGTAGTAAAGAAGATAATTCATCTTGATCTTGAACAGAAGTTCTCGGATGAACCTAATTATGATAATATTATAAATTCATCAATATCTATCAAATATATCAATGTCATGATAACATGGTAAAAAAATATTCGTTTATTTACCAATCCTCCTTGATTACTTATTGCACAATAACTTCCAACAAGTACGTTTCCCGCAATTGTTTGTGTAAACACTTCAACTCCCAATACATCTCGAATGATCTCTTGAGTTTCTCTATCAATATCAGGATGTACGAGAGCAACATGATCATTACAAGTAATAACATTTCCAAGAGCAGATAATCGTTCCTCAATGCGTTGAATTTGAACCGAATCTGGAAGGGAATTACGTAAATGTTGAAGTTCTTGATCAGTTGTCGAATTTGGAACCAATAATCCTTTTCGATTTCCTGTTAATATTTATAATCAATATTATAATTAAATATATTATAATTAACATTACATTTACAAAAAAAATTAAAATTAAAATTAAAATTCAATTTCTAGAATACAAACCAACAGTTAAACGACCAATGATTCTGGTACTGGCTATCGATGTATGAATCACTGGAATAATATCACCTAATTCCCCTTCAAATATACTATATAGAAGTAATAAGTTAAATAGTTATTGATGCGCAGTCGATTCAAATTTTAATTGAAAATACCTGTAAAAATTTTCAGATCCGCCAATTGCAACCAAGCAATAAGAGTTTGTAAGTCGAGAAAACACACCAATTTCATTACTGTTTTCGAATTGTGCACCTTTAATGAAAATTTGAATTTGAATTTGAATTTGAATTTAAAACGAATGGCACATTGAACTATTTAAGAAATTTAAAATTTTTTAATTGTTCCGTAGCCCAAAAGTTTGATAAAGTACTTACGAACAGCCATTTCGAGAATATAGTGAGTTTTGTGAACTTTGTAAGTTTGGTTTCTTTTGTTGGATTATTAACAAAAACTTTGTCAAACTGTCGAACTAACTACAACAGTGACGAGAAACCTTTTTGATATGCCATTTTTATATACATCTCAGTCACATGATATTAACATGATATAAATAAAAAGGGCAAAAAAAAAGTCTGAATGGAACATATACTAATTCCTTTATAACTACCTATATTTTTTTAAAGTGTAAAAAAAGAAACCTTTACTTACTTTGTTTAAATAACTACAGATTCAACTTAGCAATTAAAAGGATTTTTTTAAAAAAAAAATACATAATGTCATTATACGGTGATTTACCTCCGCCTACGCATTCGGAATCAAATGCAGATGAGGAAACTCAACAACCTTCCACCAGTTCGGAGACTCAAACCACGAGTTCGAAAACGTCAAAATCTGCTCTTCCAGGTATAAGCAGATCTGGCAAACCCTGAAAAAAATTATACCGACTATAAACATGGATCTGTTTCAAACTTTTTCTTGATAGTATGTGAAATGTAAATCAATAAATCCAACTCAAATCAAGTCACTCACCTCAATAACATTTCGCCACGAATGAAAACGTGTGTGTCGAAAATGGACTTTTATCAGTTGGTTGGACTCCAGGAACATTACGTTTTATGCCTACAATTCAAAGAAAGCCAATTATTCAAGCAAAACCGAAGCTTATTCCACGAGTACCAGTGTCTTCTACTTCTTCTTCTTCTCCTCCTCCTCAGATACCTGCTTCGATATCCCCCAACAAAAATTATATTTCGAATTCTCCAAACCTAAGTACCGCGGTATCATCTCCTCCACAACCATTTCCTAGTGAAAGTGGACCGATTGTACAAACCTCTACTTCTACTACCACAACCTCTCCAAAACCATCGATGGCTTCAGAAGAATTAAATGAATTTAAACCTTTGTATAGTAGTCAAAGAATTCGTAACACTTTTGAAAAAGTAAGAGTAAAATTAATTTAAATTTATTTTGTTTTTTGGTTTTTGTTTCATTAACTTTTTTTCTAATCCTCGAGTTAGAACAGCCACCAAAAAAAAAAAAATAAATAAATAATAATAATATAACAATAATCAATATTTAACAAAAAAAAAAAGGGGAAAAAACCTATGAAAGGAATTAAAAGACAAGCACCTTTATCATATGATGATGATTATGACCCAACACGTCCTAATGATTATGAGGAATTTAAAGAGTTTGAAAAGAAACGTCGTGAAAAAGAAGCAATTATGCGTCAAGAAGAAATGAGACCAAGGTCGATGAGTATTGATTCAGAGAAATATCACTCACCACCTCGTGAACCTCGTGAACCTCGTGAACCTCGTGAGCCTCGTGAGCCAAAATTTTTTTTTTTTTTTAAACTAATTTTGATTCCGTTTTTAATTAATTAATTGTTAATTCGACGGTTAATTCTTTGTTAATTCTTGTTAATTTCGTTAATTTTATTAATATTGGATATTTAGGATCATATCCACCACCACCTTTATATTCAGAATTATCACCATCATCATCTAAAGCAAGTGAAGCATCAGCAGATGTACCAACTGCGCGTTCACCACCAGTAAAATTGGATTTAGAAATTTCTGGTGAAGAAGCATTTTTACGGAGAGCACGTTTAAGCAATCGTGCTGTTAATGAGACAACTCCAAAGTGTGTGTCAATTATAATTTTTACTATAATTATTTTATAACAAAATAATTATTTTATTTTGTTTTTTTTTTAAAATTTCTTTAGGTCTCCGGAAATTAAAGCCACAACTATTTCGAGTTCTTCTGGGGAAGATTTTGCGCATCGCATGCTTACTAAATATGGTTGGCAAGAGGGGCAAGGTATTATATAATTTTTTTTAATTGTTAGAGATAATTTTTGTTTTGTTATTTTTTGTTATTGATTACATATAAAATTTCCAAATATATAATAATTAAAAATTTAATAAATATAAATAAATAAATAAATAAATAAATATAGGATTAGGAAAGAATGAACAAGGTATCAATGAACCATTAACCGTTCAGAAAACAGATAAACGTTCAGGATATATCGTCAATACATCAAGCACTCATACAGGTAAAAGGACATATTTATTCATATAATTTAATTTTGGTAATGTATTAAATTAATCTATTCAATATTATAATCAATATTATAATCAATATTATAATCAATATTATAATCGATATTATTTCTAGCTAAAACGGAACAACCACCATCTAAATTAATTCCAAATTACGAAGTTCCATCGAAAGTGATTATGTTAACAAATATGGTAATTAATATAATTAATGGACATTTTTTTTTTTTTTTTTTTTTTAAAAAAAAAAAGAAAATTATGGTTAAAAACGTTTTAAAATTATATTATGATAAGGTCGGACCTGGTGAAGTTGATGATACTCTTCAAGAAGAAACAGCGGATGAATGTAAAGAAAAGTATGGAGCAGTGGAAAGTTGTCTTATTTTTGAGGCAAGTATTTTATTCCTTTATTTTTTTTATTTTTTTATTTTATTTTTTATTATTTTATTTTTACTTAAAGAATTAATCAAAACATATATTTATATACACATATATTTAACTTTGTATTTTATATAGGTTCCTAATGGTAAATTGCCGGATGATCAGGCAGTAAGGATTTTCGTGAAATTTGTGGATCAAATTGCGGCAATAAAAGCAAAAAAAGATCTTAATGGTCGATTCTTTGGAGGTCGTGCTGTTTCGGCAAGATTTTTTGATGAAGTAAGATATGAAAAATTAGATTTGGCACCTTCTGCCGTGGAGTTACAGATGGGCAAGCCAAAAGAATCTTGATTATCTAAATCATTCATTCATTTATTATTATTATTATTATTATTATTACAATCGAATAAATTTTAGAATTCATTTTTAATGGTCTTATGATGCTTATGATGATAATATGTTCATAACGGAGAGTTTCTCTACTTAATTTACTTTTTTACTTTTTTTTTTTTTATCTTTTAGTTGGATCAAATGTTATAAAATTGATGAAATTTGGTTTTATTGATATTGGAAATTTTATTATTACTTTTTATTTTATTATTATTATTATTATTATTATTATTTTGGAATTTAATAAAATATTTTTTTATATCATGTGTCATCATCAATTATCATTCATCAAGTCTTTCCACCTTTTTTTAATCCCGAATCAATAAATTATATGCATGATTTGATCATACATCTATTTTCCTAAAGGTTTTAATAAATTAGGATCTATAAAAGTATAAATTTGTGTACTATGTACTAGTACAGTAATGTTAATATTGAGTGTAAATCGTGATTTTATGTACAAGAAAAAATTCACATCAATGGATTTTTACAGGATTACCCCAATAAAAGAGTGGACGTGCGTTAACATTTTGAAATATTATCGAAATGAAGACATAAAACAAGAATTTTCGAAAATTCTGGACAGTGTAAAAAAAGAACTTATAAAGGTAGCTGATGCTAACTCTGATTTCAGACATTGCACGCAAAGTTAAAGCGCAAGAGATTATCGATACTTGAAAGGCGAGTTATCATTAATGAGACGGTAAAATTAAGGAACTCCTTAATTCGATACAATCCTTCTTCATCAGAGGGTGCTGGAACTCTCAGTTTACAGCGGTAGCTTCAGCTCATAGCTGAGGTGTGTTGAGTTCTTTTGACCTCAATTCTTAGTTGAGGTGTTGGGAGGAGCTGGAACTCTTAGTTTTACAGTGGTAACTTCAACTCATAGTCGAGTGTTGAGCTCTTAGCTTGAAATTCCCATTGGTTTATTGGATTATTTCTAATAGGAATTTCTTATGAATGGTTTTTATTGTCAAGGATTGGAGTCTCCGGTGAAAAAAAAAAAAGCAAATATAATTCAACACGAATAAGCAGATGATACGGGTAAGTTAGATAGTAGGGCCATAGCTTATAAATGGATATTTTACCACAAATAATGTAAGACATTTCCTTTTTATTAGACAAAGCAACAACTTAATGCAGTCAAGAATTCTGCAAATCAAATTGACATATTTCAAAATCAGTTTAATGAGGACAGCCGAAAAAGATCCCTGGAAAGTCGAGATAGTGATGATGATTAGTCTGATGATGAAACGCTAATTGTGAAGAAGGTGAGATTGGTGGCTCTACAATAGTCTCTGATAACAAATAGCCCACTAACATGTTTTATTGGATGTGCTAGAACAAAGCCTGTGAAGTCAATTTGTTACCATCCGTTGAAGAAATTTCAAAAATAGCCTCTACACAAGATTTAATCGATCATTTAAGAAAAACAAACATAGGTTTAACGGATGATGATTTCAAGGTCCTCAACGACCACGGAATAACAGGAAGAACTTTCCTTTTGCTAACAGAAGAAAAACTCGAAAGTAGGGGATTTATATAATCCGGTTTCACCCGTGTGATAATTTTTATTTTTAATAATTTTATTTTTGATCCGGGTTTGTGGTGAACATGTATAAAGATCCTTTTAGAATTGTGTTCATGAGGATTTGTGGAATTCGTGGGGTTTTGGACGAATGATTTATAAGGTTGGGTCATTTTTTTATAGCCTTCTCTCCTCTCCTAGGTTCGCAGTGGACGTACGGAAAGGTAGTATTCTTAATAATAAATGCTTACCTTCTCTCCTTAGAATCGGGTTCGTGGGTTCGTGGGAGTTCCTACAGATGATTTATAAGGTGAGTTCACTTTTTATTTTTTTTTTTTATAGTATACTTACCTTCTCTCCTACTCCCAGATTTATGACAAAAATGTCTTTTTCTGCATATTAATATTATTTTGTACCTTTGTTCATCAATTCATATTTGTTTGTTCTTTCATCTATTAATTATAGATGTTAATTGATAATTGATTTTTTTTTTAATTATTTCTTCTAAAATGAGTGATATAGATGAAGCAGAAGAAATAATTAGTGATAACCAATATGACCCTATTGAACCTGATATTGGTGATGATGATACTGGTCCTATGCCAATGTCTATTAGTAGAGAAAATTTCAACTTATCAACAAATACTACAAATAATAATATTACAAAATAAAAATAATAATAAAAATAGTAATAAAAGAAAATTAAGATGAACTTATGCAAAAAGCAGTTGGATATGGTGTTATTTCAAAACTTCAGAAGATGGTATGTTCAATATATGTAATGTTATAATAGATAAGACAACTGATGGTAATATAATTTGTGAAAGTTGTCATCTTTGTTGTAAGCATGATTTATCAGAAGAAAAAAGGCAAAGGGTAAAGTAAAAATGTTGAATTATTATTATTATTAAATTAAATAGTTAAATTAATCTAAGTATTGTAATTTTAAGTTCAAAATGGTTTTACTCAACAAACTTTACATCAAGCAATAAAAATTAAACCTTATAAAGAATCAAAAAGCAATGAAATTCAACAAGCTATTGCTGAATGGATAGTTATAGATAATTTACCACTTAATGTTCTTCAAGGAAGGAGATACAAGAAAATGATAGTTCAGCTTTTCAAATTCCATCAAACAAAAGAATGAAAAAGATAATTACTAAAGGATACCAGAATACAATACAAGAATTTTAAAAAATTAATTACTGATACTTGTGAAACAGCTTCTTTAACAACTGATCTTTGGATAGCAAAGAGCAAGCATGGCTATATTGGTATTACTCTTCATTGGTTATCAAGTGATTTTAAAGTATATGATTGTCTTTTGTATATGGAACAAATGCCATATCCTCATTCTGGAGAAAACATTTCATCATTTTTACAAGAAAAAGTAAGGGAATTTAATTTAGAAGGTAAAATTACATGTGTTGTAACTGATAATGGTTTCAATATGGTTAAGGAAATTAAATGTGAGATGGTGTTGAATGGTTACCATATGCTGCACACACATTGCAACTTTCTATTAATCATGCTTTTAAAAAATCTAATATTTATATTAAATGTATTAAACAATTGGTTAGATTTTTTACTAAATCACTAAAACAAAGTGAACATCTTGATAAGACTCAAAAGAAATGTAGATATCAAAACAATAATAATAATTCTGATGAAAGTAGTAATGATGATGATGGTGATGATGAAGATAATAATGAAGTTGATAATAATAATGAAAATGAAAATGAAGACAATAACAATAATAATAATGCAGTAAATATCAATAACAATTCTGAAGAACCTGTTTTAAGAAATATAGTAGATATCAAAATCCAATGGAATTCAAAATATTATTTATGGCAATGACTTTATAAATTATGTAAAGCTATTGAATAATTAAGTGCAACTTTACCATTATCTAATGATTCAAATGATTGTGCAGATGGTTGCAAACTTAAAAATCTATTATTGAAACCTTATGAATGGGATTTGTTAAGACAAATTATAGATTTATTGGAACCTTTTAATGATGCAACCACATATTTCAGTGAACATCATATGCAACATTATTAATAATATCTCCTGTAATACAAGCACTTAAATATAATTATATTTGTATACCATCAAATGATAATAGTAATAAAAATAATAATAATAGAGATAGTGATAATGAAAATAATAGTAATAGAGATAATAGTAATAAAATTGATAATAATAATGAACAATGTAATTATATTTTTATATTATTTATTTATTATTTTATTATTTTTAATTAATTTTAATATTATTTTATAGATATATCAAATTTTATACATGAAGAATCATCAGATGATAATAGTAATAGTGATAGTAGTGAAAGTGATAAAAATAACAATTTAGATGGTGAAACTAGTGATCTTGATACTCCTGAGAATTTGCTTCAACTTAATTATACACAATTAAAAAAACTATTCCAAAAAATAATAATCTTTAAACAATAGAATTAATGAAGAAAACTATATACAATTTACTTTTTATTATTGGGATCAGTTATCAATGATTAGTCTTTTTGCCACAGTTTTAGATCCACAACTAAACTCCCTTTCTAGTTTGGATGATCGTATTCAAGAAAAAGTAAAAGAAGAATTAAAATCTCAATTATTAAATTTGATTAATATACAAGAACAACTTTAATTTCAAATTTTAATAATTTTAATATAACATCTGGTTTTCAACATGGCCATTTACATATTTCAATATTTGGAACAAATATTTCTAACATAGTTAATCCAATGAGTGAATTAGAATTTTATTTAGATCATATACAGTGGGTTATCAAAAGTCATGGGACAGTTGAAAATTACTAAAAAAATTACTAAATTTAAAATGCTAATTGTAATACAACGAGTAATTTAAATTGTATAAACTTTTTTTATTAGATTCCCTAATACTAGGGCTATCATAAGAAATATTTTTGTTAAAATTGAATGCTTACAAGTGGAGAATTACACTTCAAATAAAATTGTCAAAAAATAATAAATTTGATCTTTGAACGCTACCCATACCAGACTTGATAGATATTAATGATAGATGCTAAATATCTTATATGGAATTGTAGACAGAAATGATGTCTACAATTTTAATTATTAGCATAATTTGACATGAATAAAAACAGCTGAAATTTATTAAAATTAAAAGTTAAAATAAAAAAATCTAATTTTAATTATCAACAGCAGTCACAAGAAAAAATTTTTTATTTAATAATATAACAATAAAAACGGTTCTAATTAAACTTAATCTCAAGAATCTAGTGCATCTATTTAAAAAGTTTTAGACTTATATATTAAAAATTAAGGGAATAATTGACAATTAAAGTTTAGGGAATAATTTTTAAATGTTCAAATTCAATCATTAGTATTAATTTCAATTCTCAAGTAGAAAATCTAAAATTTTTACCATAGATGCACCATATTTTTAGCTATAACTTTTATTAATACTACTTTTGTTAAGATATTAGTAAATAAAAATATTTTATATATAATTACAATTGATAATCATTTTCAGAAATTTTCAAAAATAAAAAATGATCAACACAAATTTTAATTTAGATTTTTTACTTGAGAATTGAAATTAATACTAATGATTGAATTTGAACATTTAAAAATTATTCTCTAAAATTTAATCATTAATTATTGATTAAATCTTTTATGTATAAATCTAATACTTTTGTAGTAGGTGTACTAACTTCTTAAGTTTAGGTTTAATTAATACAATATTTATTATTATATTATTAAATAAAAAAACTTTAAGGTGTAACACATTTGATAATTTTTTTAATTATAAAAACTAATATTTTATAATTTATTATTAATATTTTATGGAGTAGCCTTTATTTTCAATAACAGCAGCAATATGACATAACATACTATCAACAAGATTTTTATACATATCTTTTTCAAGTTTAACCCATTCTTTCTGTAAAATTTGCCATAATTCTTTCTTATTTTTAGATAATGGTTTATGTGACCTGACTTTTTTATTTAATTCATTCTATAAATTTTCTATAGAATTTAAATCTGGACTCTGTGCAGGCCATGGAAGGCTTGTAATATTATTATCTTCCTTCCATTTTTTTGCAATTTTTGCAGTATGAATTGGAGCATTATCTTCTTGAAAAATATAATTCTTCTTATTTTCTAAACTATTGATAAATGGTATTAAATTGTTTTTTAGCATATCTATATATATTTTTGCTGTTATTTTACCTTCTAATCTAACTAATGGACCAAGTTTATTTTTTATAAAACAATCTCAAACCATTATACTTGTCCTGATTTAAAAATTGGAATAAGACATTTTGGATCATATTTTTCTTGAGAATTTCTCCAAACATATCTTTTTCCATCTCATCCAAATACTTCAAATCTTGATTTATCACTTCAAATAATATTTTTTCACTGATTTATTCAATTTTTCTTATTTTAGTTCAATTTAATCTTTTTATTTTATTGGCTACATTAACAAAAGTTTTTTTGTACCAACTCTTCCATAAATATTATTTTTATAAAGGTGTCTTCTCAAAGTAACTGAGCTTACATTTTTTGAAGTAGAAGTGATAAAATCTTCACATAGTTCTTTAACATTGGTTCTATGATTTTTATTTAAAATACTTATTAAATGATGATTATCTCTTTCTGATATAATAATTGGTTGACTATTACAAAAAGGCTTTTTTTCTAA